TGGCGGGGCCGCACAAATAGGTGGCGGGGCCGCGAAGGTAGGTGGCGGGGCCGCACAGGTAGGTGGCGGGGCCGCGGAGGTAGGTGGCGGGGCCGCACAGGTAGGTGGCGGGGCCGCGAAGGTAGGTGGCGGGGCCGCGTAAGGTGGCGATAGGCGCGACGGGCGCGACGGGCGCGACGGGCGCGACGGGCGCGACAGGCGCGACGGGCGCGACGAGCCGAAAGGGCGGCGCGAAGGGCCGTAGGGGCGGCGCGACTCGGGCCGGAGCAAAACGCGCTCCGGGCAGGAAAAAAAAAATTTCGTGGTGGTGGGCTCTAGGAATCGTTCCCACTAGGGAACCTGCTCGATACCATGAGAAGAAACGAGGAATGAGATGACTAAGTGAAAGTTGGGTACAAAAAGCAAACCCTAGAAAACTGTACCCCATATGTGCCACCCCACTATAGCCTACAATAGCTATGTCATATAAATCTGACAGAGTAGTCATCTTCGGGGTGGGGGAGAAGGTATGGAAAAAGTCGACCCCCTGTCGGTGACTGAAGCCTCGAGCAACGTAGCGCACCTTGAAGGCAGGCGGAGAACCCGGCGGCCGCTTCACTCTGAAAATCCACATGCCATTGACTATGTTCGCCCCAGGAGGAGGAACCTCGTCGACGTAGGTGCCTGTGGACTTCCAGGAAGCCATCTCTACGTCCATGGCTGTCTGCCACTGAGAGGAGTACTCACCCGCAATCGCCTCAGCGTAAGAGCGCGGGGTAGGGATGTCAAGTGCATCCGGGTCTTCCTCAGGGCAAAGCAGCATGGATGCGAAACAAGGTAAAGCAGCCGCAAGACACTCAAGCTCAAACTGTCTGTCCTCAAGGACGTCACTGCTAAGGGCAGGCTCACCCCCGACGGATGGAGGACTGACAGACTCAGAATCAGTAACAAGACTCGCGATGTAGTCGAGATGACGGGTAGAAGGAAATTCGACTAGCTCAGTGACTAGGGCAAACGCAGCAGTAGACTCAAAGTCAGGGTCAGTGACGACATTAGCGAGGAGATGAGTGACATTAGGATTGGCAGCACGAGTAAGGTCGAACTTAGTGTCAGGAACGGAAGGAAGAGAGGACTCCGGAGGAGACGGCAGGGCAACATGCTATGGAACAGAGGAAGGACGAAGTGCCATAACGTGAGTGCCTGGGACAGCAGGAGGACGAGGACGGGTGATACAACGAGCACGAACAGGTGTGGAGGCACGAGACACAGGTTCACGACGCTCATTCAGGGAGTCTGGCAGCTCAGTGTAGGGAGAAGGAGCAGGCAGTGGGGAGCCAGGTGGCAACTGTGATTGAGACGGGCCAGGCGGTGGACACAGGAGAGGTGGAGTGAGGCCAGTGAAAAACGAGAGACTAAGAACATGGCAAAGGGCCGAGTCAGGGGGTGGCAGGGACGACTGCGGATGCCAGTAGAAAACCGGTCGGTGCGGCACAGTACCCGTACCGTCAGCAGCTCCAGCACCTCCAGTACCTCCAGCTCCAGCACCTCCAGTAGCACTTCCAGTACCTCCAGCACCAGCAGCACCTCTAGCACCAGCAGCTCCAGTAGTACCTCCACCACCAGCAGCTCCAACGTCTAGGAAACTCCAAGCTCCAACACCAGAGCGGCCTCCCCGAACGACCCACTCACGAAGCTGCTCCGGTGAGGGCGTCTTGAGTCGACTAGGCGGCTACTGCTGTCCAACGCTAGGACCTGCAGTTGGAGCATCCACGGCCCCACCACCACTAGGGCTCTCAGCACCCCCACAGGCAGCACCCCCAGAGTCAGCACCCCCAGAAACCTCACCCCCAGTCTCAGCACCCCCAGTCTCACCACCCCTAGGACCAGCATCTCCTGCGTCCTCACCCCTAGTGTCACCACCCCCAGCAGCACCAGTGTCCACAACTACAGGCTGCAGAGGCGACAAAGACGGTCGAGGTGGAAAACCAGGAGGGGTCTCCAAGCGTAGAGAGCGACTGGTGGTCGCCGTGTCGTCAGCAGCGGGGTCACCACCCTCAACTGGGCCAGAGGTGTCAGAGGAGATCACCAAAGGCTCAACCAAGGGGGGTGGGTCTACCTGAGACACACCTGAGGGAGCAAGACCCTGTGGGGGGAGGGGGTCTACCCGGGGGGGGGTCTGGTACCAAGAAGAGAGGCCCCAGAGGGATCGGGTGGGATGTGTGCGGGTGGAGCCTATAGAAACAGACAGATTCGTCAAAGGTTACGTCTTGGGAGGACAGGACTCGACGCGAGCGAGGGTGGTAAAACTGCCACGGCGGGGCGTCGGTGGGGAAGCCCAGGAAGGCGCAGCGGAGAGTGCGAGGAGAGAGCTTGCTCGCAGTGGTATCGCGGACAAGGGAGAGCGCGCCCCAGACCCGAAACGCAGACACATCGCCAGCCTCTCCTGTCCAACGGAGTGTGGGCGATGTCTCTGGCAAAGAGACACGGGGCCAGAGGTTGAGCTGATGCGCAGCGTATCGGACCGCAAACGGCCACAGAAAATGGGGAGCAACCGCATGGATCATGGAGATACGAGCAACCTCCATGATCAAGCCAATGCGACGCTCAGCATTCCCATTTTGTTGCGGAGAGGCCGGAAGCGTGAAAGACTGGAAGATGCCCTCGTCTCGACAGAACTCCGCAAGAAGGCCGGAAGAGAACTCACCGCCCCTGTCAGAGTGCAGACGCATGACGGGAAGGTCCCGCCAAAACCGCTCGCGCAGCTGGCGACGAGTAGCGCGGATCCAGGGGATCAAAACACCGCAGACGTCCACCTTGCTGCACAAGGGGAAGACCGTGGGGTAGCGCATGTGGTCGTCAACGACCAGCAGGAAGTAGCGTTCCTGGTCCGTCCCACAGACGGGGGCCGGGCCCAACACGTCCATGTGGAGAGTCTGCAGAGGAGCAGTGGTCGGAGGAAACGAGGAGGAGTGAGGAGCGGCGCGCTGCCGCCCCTCGACGCAGGGAAGGCACGGCGGGGCAGGCGAGCGTGGGAGGGGGGGCAGGGACCTGGGAAGGCCAGAGACAAGGAGACGGGAGTGCATGTGGCGGAGACGCGGCAGAGAGGGGTGACCGAGTCGGTGGTGCCAGAGAAGATTCTGGTGGGAGAGTACCCGACACGAGCACGACGCAGCGAACTGACCAGACGCAGACACCTGACTCGACGCAGCCATCTGACCTGACGCAGCCACCTGTGCAGACGCACTGGTCAGGGTGTACAGACTGGACCCAGGCTGCCGAGTGAACATAGAAAGGTGACGTCCAGTCCGAGAGCACGTACAGATCGCCACACGTTGCCCTCCAGGGATAAAGGTATCAACCCAAACATCCTGAAGGACTGCGTTGCTCACCAAGTTCGTTAAGAACGAGGGGAGGCGGAGGCATGAAAGAGAGCCAGAGGGGACTGCCGAACACGGGAGGACAGTGGAGGCTCGTGCGACGACGGGGCCCCCAGAGGGGTCAGCTAGTGAGACTTGGACCGGTGCAGCGAGTGGTGTTACTGTGGTGCCATCACGAAAGAAGCAACGAGACGCGCCAGAGTCAAGTGTGAAGGTGTGCAAGACTTCAGTTGAGGCAACAGACTCACTAGTGGCCGACTCACTGGCACCTGTGGCAGCAGTCTCACTGGCATCTAGAGCGGCAGCAGACTCACTAGCACCTTGAGCAGCAGCACTGACACTACCAGAGACACGCCGCTGACACTGCTGCCGCTGTTGTCCAGTACCTCTAGCACGCAAGAAATCCCAAGCTCCAGGACCAGAGCGGCCTTGCCGAATAACCCACTCGCGAAGCTGATGCGGCAATAGAGTCTCTGGCTGACGCTGCTACTGCTGTCCTCCTCCAGACGCTGCTACGACCGTGATAGTGGCCATGACAGGCAGAGGCAGTAAGGAGCAGTGGCGCAAGGACCTCAGTAGCAGGTGATGTAGCTGCAACTGTAGCAGTAGCGGTAGTCGCTGTGGCTGCAACAACAGGAGAAACTGTTGGAGTGGTTGTGGAGGCCAGTAGGTTGCATGGGCAGCAGGGCACGGGCTAGCAGCAGGGCACACGGGCAGCAAGGCGCAGACGGGCTGCAGGGCAGGGCAGCACGCGGGCTGAAGGGCAGGGCGGCGCGCGGGCTGCAAGGCAGGGCGGCGCGCGAGCTGCAGGGCAGGGCAGAGCGCGGGCTGAGCAGCGTGCGGGTCGCACGTTAGGCAGCAAGCGGGCAGGGCAGAGCGCGTGGGGTAGCGCAGGCAGGGCAGCGTGAGGGACGCTGTTCGAGCAGGTCGAAACTAGTGGTGGGCCCTAACGGAGCGGTCCTACGGATGGACCTGCTCTGAAACCATGTCAGAAGAATGTGCAGGAATGGATGAACTATGCAAGAGTGAGATACAAGTAGTAAACCCTAACTAGGGTTGTACTCTATACTGAGCACCTCACTCTAGTCTAGCAGAACTAAGAACATATAAATATGTTTTGGCACGCTAACCATCCATCCACTAGCTATCCTCGTTCTGCAAAGGCTGCTACTGCTAATGTGAGGTGACTTTTGAGTCGACTCAAAAGTAAACACGAAGCGCACACGGTAACCATCCATCCACCGCCTGTCCTCATTCTGCAAAGGTTGCTGCTTATATGTGCTCTGATGGGGAGATGGTAAGACTTCTGAACCGTACCAGGGACATTGGCAGCAAGTCCATGCTACACTCATGTATCGGCACTTTCATATTGCTCTGCTGTCAAGAGCCTTGGTTGTGCTGCTGCCCACTCAGCAGGATGCGGCAGCAGCACTGCAATATACCCCTCTGAGGCTGCCTGCAGAAAGCAAAATGAGAGAAAAAAAAAAAGGAACTGATGGAAAGTCAGAAAGTAGATAACTATGGAAATAATTATCGATACAACAGTATAGTATACACAATCCTGTCCTTTGAATTATGTTCCTTGACATATGTTAAAAGACAACATGACTGATTCTGCCGACAACTCTGGTGGATTGACCTTACCTTGTCTCTGAGCAGCATCGGGTTGGTGGCCAGCTGTCGATTGACCTCAATCAGCCGACCCTTGACGCAACACCTGAACAGGAGACGACGAGACGTTCCACATTGTCACTCCCGGGATGAAGAAAGATTGAGGGAAGCGGGTACAATGAGAGAATGGGAAGGGGCGGACGAGAAAAGCCACACTCATGAGGAAACAGAAACACATTGCACGTAGCTCCTTTTCATTTCACAAAACTAGTTGACCGACTTTCATTTCACAAGACTAGTTGACCGACCTTTCATTTCACAAGACTAGTGGACTGACCTTGCAACGTAAAATGCATATCCCTGCCCATTCCTTTCTCCTCCACCATTTTGCAGTCCCGGCCCTTTTCTTCTTGCTTCATCATTTTCGTGTCTTGATTCAAAACCAGCACCACTCGCTCCCTCGGGTATTTTCTGCAGTTGCGCCTCTCGATTCCCCCCTATCCTCGGCTGCTTTTGCTCATTCTCTCTGCTCCTCCCATTGGTATTCAACAACTCACTGCCATCTGCGGGTGCACCACTGCAAACTGTAAGTGTATCAGCAGCTGTGACTGCATTACCAGTTGTGGCTGTATTACCAGTCGGGACTGAATCAGTGGCTGTGACTGTATCAGTTGCAGTGGGCATAGCTGCCGCTCTTTCTGACACACTGATAGTGCTGCCACTGCCTGCAGCACTGCTGTCAGGAGCTGCATTTGTCGTACAAGACACTGCGGTTGGGTTCGATTCCGTCACATTGGGAACTGTGGTGGCAGCGTTGGCATCACCACTAGCGATTGTGCCTGTATCAGTTGCTGTGACTGTATCAGGAGGTGGCGTCACCATTACGATCTTGCAGAGAGCTGAGTTGGCATCCAAAGGTGTTGCCCTCTGATTGGATGGGATGGCGAGTATAGACACAAGCAGTAGAGGATGAAGCAAAGAAATGAGTAAGACAGGAAGGGCAGAAGCAATCACACAGGAACGGATCACAGACACATACTCCTCACCCAGATGATAAAAGAGAGTTTTTGAGACGTCTCAAGAACTCTCTTTTGTCAGAAGCAATCACAGAGGAAGGGACCACAGTGGTATTCCTCAACCAGAGTTCACCCTGTGACTGACAGTAGTGTGTTGTGTTTCACTTGAATTCCTCCATCCCACACCTGCCTGTTCACAGCTCTCCACCCTTCAACTCCTGAACCCTTATTCCTCAGCTCTACGCCCGAAACCCACAACTCTCATTTCAAATTAACTATCCAGAAACTTGAACCCCTAAAAGCCGAAACCTTCAAGTTGAGATGCACAACTGTTTTCAGCCTTGAACCCTCTAAACCCAACCCCCTCAACCCTCGCCCGCACCTGTTTGTTCTTGCCAGTGGCCTCCATCTCCAGGCGGCTCCTCTTGCCCACGTGGAAATCAACGGCTGAGATCGCTCGATCTGCTGCCAGTGCTGCGTGCGAGGGAGCAAGGCCCACCACAATGAGTCTGCCAGAGGGGGACGAGGAGACCAATGGGGCGACGGGGGCGAGGGGTGCAGGGGGGAAGAACGGGAAGAGGGTCTCATGGCATGCATTCCAAATCTGACAAGAAGGGGAAGAGGGTATCAGAGCCTACCTTGCACTGAGCACAACATCCATGGTCCACATTGAGGGGTTTGTTTATGAGGAATTCGATAGTCAAGGGTCAGCCTTTTGGAAAGCGCAGAATTGGTGTAATTTAATGCCGAGGGAATCGGTTTTATTACACTAGCAGTGTACACCTACCCATTGGCATGTCGGTAGATGTATTGATCATTGCCCTTTATGCCTCCCACGTCTGCGACACCAGAAACGGTGGATGCACGAAACAAATGGGTGCACACTGTTTCAAAATAGAGTTGCGCTTAGAAGCTATTGCGCCAAGGAGAATAAGACAACGATACTAGCATATATGCTGGGAGAAGGAGTTTTTGACTCGAATGGCAAGCACAAGTCGCTCCCACGCACCGCGCAGGAAGTATCGCGAGAAGCCTCGCTCGTGGTAGCGAAGCGGGGATCGCACAGAGAGCACCTGAGGCGGATACAGCTCGTCGAAAGCGAGAGAGTGTATCGTCGAGCCGGCACCCAATCCGAATGGCGCGTCTGGCACGGAAGTCGCTGGTACTTCTACGTCTGGCAACGGAGTCGTTGCATCTACGCCTGGCTCGCGGTCCTGCGGAGCTAGTGGTGCCTCTGTCAAGGAAGTCGGTGCCTCTACGTTTCGCGACGACGACAACGCGATTTGCGGTTGTGACTGTACGGAGTTCTGCGCGGCCGGTATTTCATCGCAGCGTGACTGTTCTGTGTTATCTGTGGCGGGGCTGGGACGAGCGGTCGTCACTCCATCGCCGTCGCCGTGGCTCTCCATGCCAGACCAATCGACAGGTCTGCTGTCAGAACGGAATGTTTTGCAGTTCCAGGTGGGGAGAAATATCATACCCTCGAGATCATCCTCGTTACCATCTGTTCACGAAGTTCGACTTCTACGTCCACTGTGAATGAAGGTGGCTCTTGAAAATGGTAAAACATCACACTCTAATTATTGAGTAAAATGATAAGTGGTTGATACATGTGCTATTGAACGAATGAGCAAGGAGATCAATATTGATGCCAGCAAAAACAAATCATTTAGTAAGGTGTTTTACAGGCATAACGCAAAGTTTGGTATTGACTGAGGCGTTGGTACGGATTACGGGTTACTAGCCTAGGCGTATGGCATGGGCGCAGCAGTGAGAAGGGTGGTCAAGAAGCGAAATTTTTGACATGGTAACAGGACTAAATGGTCGGTGGTGGTGCGTCAGTGTTGTACGCGGCATGCAATACAGGAGACGCAAAGTAAAGAAAGCTGGGTTTGGAGTATTTCAAACTTAGGTGTGAATGCGGCGAAATGAGGCTACGTACAATCAAGGACGGTCTATTTACATCATACTTGCAGAACGACTGGGTTGGTATTTCACATAATACGTACTTTCGGGAGTCGGGACACTCCCTCGTACACCACCTTTGCCTAGAGATTTTCGCACGAGCAGCAGCAGCGGTGGTGGCTGCTGTGGCAGCGGTAGCGGCAGTGGTAGGGGCAGCAGCGGCGGCGGCGTAAGCGACAGCGGCGGCTGTTGCAATAGCGGCTGCAGCAACTGAAGCAGCAGCGGCAGCAGCTGTAGCGGTAGTTGCGGCGGGTGTAGCAGCTGTAGCAGTAGTTGCGGCGGCTGTTGCGGCAGCGGCAGCAGCTGTAGTGGCAGTTTCGATGACTGCGGCAGCTGTAGCAGCAGTTTCGACGACTTCGGTAGCTATAGCAGCAGCTGTAGCGGCAGTTTCGACGACTGCGGCAGCTGTAGCAGCAGCTGTAGCGGCAGTTTCGACGACTGCGGTAGCTGTAGCAGCAGCTGTAGCGGCAGTTTCGACGACTGCGGCAGCTGTAGCAGCAGCTGCAATGGCTGTAGCGGCAGCAGCTGTAGCAGTCGATGCGGCGGCTGCAGCAGCAGCTGTAGTGGTCGTTGCGGCGGCAGTTGTAGCGATTGCTGCGGCGGCTGAGGCAGCTGTAGTGACAGGTACAGCGTTGGCAATTGTAAATGCAGCGGCGGCCGCAACAAAGGGGGAGTGGGGGCGCGCTGGGCAGCGGGGCAGCAGTGCGCGCAGCAGCAGTGCGCGGGGCAGGGGCGCACGCAGCAGCAGTGCGCATGGTAGCGTGGGGCGTGGGGCAGTGGCGACGCGCGGAGCACTGTACAAGGGGCAGCGTGGGGCAGAACTAACGGTGGGCCCATCTGAAACCATGTCAAAATCTAACAGCATGGATGAAATTGACTAGGAACAATGAGATACATGTTGGAAATCCTAAATGGGTTGTACCCTCTAAAGTGCACCTTACTGTAGCCTACAACCTAACAAATGTACATTTTGACAAAGCTACCATTTCTCTGAGAGCCGCATTCATCGGAGCTTTTAGCCCGAGCAGTTCCAAGTATATGCATGTGTTGCCGACTTCAGGAATAAAAAAAATCAGGTTTGATTTAAGGTCTTTGAAATCGCACGGTCTGGCGAAGCTGTGCATGTCACTTTGATCCTGACTGTTGAGACACAACTGCTAGATGTAAGTGCCCCATGCATGCATGCACAGAAATGGTGATAGAGATGTTCTCAATGTACAGCTTGTTTATTGCATTTTTTTCCAAATAAATATCTATTGCATAACCTGGCACCTGTCATATATGTATACAATCTACATGAAAATAATCATGTGCACCCCTTTCTACCTCCCTCCAGGAGGCACTCGAAGCTGTCAAACTTATATCTGCTATAGTCTGTTTAGGCTGTAGTGGGGTAGTTCTTAGAGGGTACAACACTTTTGTGCTCTCTACTTGTACCCATCTCGTTCCTAGTTCAATCATTCCATTCTCGATTCTCACATGGTATAGAGCTGGTTCGTTTTTTTTTAAGGGCCCACCACTCGAAATGTTTTTTTTTCGTTACCTGCCCGAGGCGCGCGTCGCGTTTGACCGAGCCGCGCCCTAGTGTCTGTCCTTCGAGGCCCCTAGTGGCCTGTCGCTGCCCCTTAGTGGCCCTTAGCGACCCCCCCTTAAGGCTCGTCGCGGCCCCTCTTCAGGCCCGTCGCGGCCCCTCCTAAGGCCCGTCGCGGCCCCCTCTTAAGGCCCGTCGCGCCCCCCTCGTAAGGCCCGTCGCGGCCCCTTCCTAAGGCCCGTCGCGGCCCCTCTTAAGGCCCGTCGCGGCCCCTCTTAAGGCCCGTCGCGGCCCCTCTAAAGGCCCGTCGCGGCCCCTCCTAAGGCCTGCCGCGGCCCCTCTTAAGGCCCATCGCGGCCCCTGTTAAGGCCCGTCGCGGCCCCTCCTACGGCCCTTCGCGGCCCCTCTGACGGCACGTCGCGGCCTCGTCACGGCCCTTCGCGGCCCCCTCTGCCGGCCCATCGCGGCCCCTGTTAAGGCCCGTCGCGGCCCCTCCTACGGCCCTTCGCGGCCCCTCTGACGGCCCTTCGCGGCCCCTCTGCCGGCCCGTCGCGGCTCCTCTGCCGGCCCGTCGCGGCCCCAACTGGCGCACCCCCCCTTCTCGGCCCCAACTGGCGCGCCCCCGGCCGGCTCCTGCTACCGAGCCCCTGCCGGCCCCAACTCGCGCGGCCCCTCCTGGCGTGCCTCTGCCAGCCCCTGCCGAACCCTGCTGACGAGCGCCTGCCGACCCCTGCCGGCGCCTGCACCTGTCTCTGGTAAGCCGAGCCGCGCCACCCGGCTGAACCGAGCCGCCCAGCCGAGCCGCGCCACCTAGCCGAGCCGCGCCGCTGCTGATACTGCTGCGCTGCTGCTACTGCCACTACTGCTGCTACTGCTGCACTACTGCTATTACTGCTACTGCTGCTCCTCTTCCTACTGCTTCCACTGCTGCTATGGCTAGTCCTACAGTTCTCACTTTTGACTCTGGGGGACGTGCAGTTGACTTTGACGTATGGGTTGATGACCTACAGCTCTTTCTTCAGTGTGACTCTAGGGATGGGGTATCCCTTTTCGATCACACGTCCGGTGTTTCCACTGCTCCTCCTGTTACTGCTGACAGTACTGTTCGCTCGCAGTGGACCACTCGTGACGCTGTTGCTCGTCTTGCTGTTCGAAGTCACTTGCCCCCTGCTGAGCGCGCACACTTTGGCCAGTACAAGACTGCTCAGTCTTTGTACGACGCTGTGGTTGCACGCTACTCCTCCCCTGCCACTGCTGCCCTCAGTCGCCTCATGCTGCCGTACCTGTTCCCTGACCTTGCCGCCTTTGCCACAGTCGCTGACCTAGTTGCTCACCTTCGCACTAGTGACGCCCGCTACCGCGCTGCCCTTCCCACTGAGTTCTGTGCCAAGAACCCCCCCCCATGTACATCACCCTTTACTACCTAGTCACCCGCCTCCCTGACTCTCTCTCTTCAGTCAGGGACCACTTTCTCTCCCTTTGCCCCACCGAGCTGACTGTCGACCTGCTAGAGGAGTGCCTTGCTGCAGCTGAGAAGAGTATCTTAGCTGTAGGTGCTTCTCGCGGCGACCGTCGCACCCCCTTCTTTGAGGGGTGTTCCCCTGTCCCCCTTCTCCCCTCTGTTGCTTCTGCTAATGCTGTCAACCTCGTTGGCACTGAGGAGGTTGGAGCTGCGTCTGCCCCTAGTGGGAGACGCCGCAACAGCAAGGGCAAGGGGACGAGGGGTGGTGGAGGGGGTGGCGGGGGGGGTGGTGGAGGAGGCGGAGGGGGTGGCGGTGGAGGTGGGGGTGGTACCGGGAGTGGGGGCTTCAGTGGCGGCAGTGGAGGTGGTGGAGGCAGCGGCGGAGGTGGTGGAGGCAGCGGCGGAGGTGGTGGAGGCAGCGGCAGCGGTGGTGGAGGCGGAGGCGGCGGTGGTTCTGGTCGAGGTGCAGCCGCGCAGCGTGGAGGCTTTGGTGGCAGCCAGCGCCAGCAGCAGCTGCGCACCCGTGAGACCCCGTCGGTTCAGCAGCTTCGTGAGTGGTACGCTGGGCGTGGGAGGTCTGGGGGTGCAGGTCCCTGCGCTTACGTTCTCCGCACCGGCCCTCGTAGTGGGGAGGTGTGTGGGCTCCCACACACCACGCAGCGCTGCTTCGGCCGCTTGACTGACGCTTGGCGTACCCAGTTTCCTGACTCTGTTGAGCTCCCTCGCTGGCATGATCTGCTTCTGCAGAATGTGCCTATCTTTGATCTAGATTTTGATGCTATCCTTGCTGCCATGTATGCTCTTGCTGATATTACTGAGGGTGACTGTTACCTGAGTGTCCCGCCCGACCCGGGCACTGCGGCTGCTGCTCTAGGTGCTAGTGCGGCTGCTGCCCTAGGTGCTCGTGCGTCTGCTGCTCCAGGTGCTGGTACGTCTACTCTCACTGGTACTGCACCTACTGAGGCCTTGCACACTTTCACACTTGACTCTGGTGCTTCGCGCTCTTTCTTTAGAGACAGCACCACGCTCACGCCGCTCAGCCGGCCTGTTGCAGTCTCCCTTGCTGACCCCTCAGGGGGCCCAGTCCTTGCACGCTCCTCTACAGTTTTACCGTGTCCGGCGGCCCCGTCGGGCTTGCTGTCGGGACTCCACCTCCCCTCGTTCTCTACGAACTTGGTGAGTGGAGCTGACCTCCAGGACGCGTGGGTTGACCAGTTCACCCCTGGAGGTCAGCGTGTGACCCACTGCACTTGCTCTCGGACGGGCCGCCACCTGGCCACGTTCACCCGTCGGCCAGGGTCGAGTCTGTACACACTGACTACTGCACCTCCTCCGGTCTCTGCGTCTGGTCAGGTAGCTGCGTCTAGTCAGGTGTTTGCTGCCGCGTCCAGGTCTAGTCCTGCGTCTGCCCCCTGCTCGTGTCGTCCTCTGTCGCACGAGACTCTCCTTTGGCACCACCGCCTTGGTCACCCCTCCCTGCCTCGTCTTCGAGGTATGGCCTCCCGTGCCCTTGTCTCTGGTCTCCCCAGGTCCCTCCCTCCCCTTCCTCCGGGGCCTGCCCCCACCTGTGTTCCTTGTGTCGAGGGCCGGCAGCGCGCCGCCCCTCACTCCTCCTCGTTCCCTCCGACTGAGGCTCCTCTGCAGACTCTTCACATGGACGTGTGGGGCCCAGCCCGCGTCCGTGGACAGGGTCACGAGCGTTACTTCCTGCTGGTCGTTGACGACTACTCACGTTACACCACAGTCTTCCTCTTGCGCAGCAAGGGTGAGGTCCCTGAGGTGTTGATCGACTGGATCCGCGGTGCTCGTCGCGAGCTTAGTGAGAGTTTCGGCTCAGACCTTCCTGTTCTGCGTCTGCACTCAGACAGAGGCGGGGAGTTTTCCTCCGACCTCCTGAGAGCCTTCTGTCGTTCTGAGGGCATCCGCCAGACGTTCACGCTTCCGGCCTCCCCGCAGCAAAATGGGATTGCTGAGCGCCGCATTGGCATGGTCATGGACGTCGCTCGTACGTCCATGATCCATGCGGCTGCTCCCCATTTTCTGTGGCCGTTCGCGGTTCAGTACGCAGCGCATCAGATCAACCTTCAGCCTCGTGTCTCCTTGCCGGAGACCACACCTACTCTGCGGTGGACGGGGAAGGTTGGCGATGCGTCCGCGTTCCGTGTCTGGGGATCTCGAGCTTTTGTCCGCGATACTACTGCGGACAAGCTGTCCTCCCGTGCCGTTCCCTGTGTCTTCCTTGGCTTCCCTCCTGACGCACCCGGGTGGCAGTTCTACCACCCCACCTCGCGTCGTGTTCTGTCCTCTAAGTAGTCACGTTTGACGAGTCGGTGTCGTACTACCGTCTCTTTCCCTACCGCACTGCCTCTCTCCCCCCCCCGCCGCTCTTCCTAGCACCAGGTACTCCCCCGGTAGACCCCCTCCCCCCCAGGGTCCTGCCCCCTCAGGTGTGTCCCAGGTAGACCCTGCCGAGCCGGTTGAGGTAGCTGTCGACTCAGGTGCTACTAGGGGTGCTGAGCCTGCGGGTGCGGGGGCTGGGGGTGCGGGGACTGGGGGTGCTGAGCCTGAGCGTGTGGAGCCTGGGGGTGCTGAGTCTGGGGGTGCTGAGTCTGGGGGTGCTGAGCCTGGGCGTGTGGAGCCTGAGGGTACTGTGTCTGGAGGTGCTGAGCCTGCGCGTGCTGAGTCTGGAGGTGCTCTAGGTGTCCCGTCGCGGCGGGAGCCTCTCTCTCCACAGCAGCTTCGTGAGTGGTACTCTCGGCGCTGTCGAGGTGCTGGTGCTGCTGCTGCTGGAGCTGCTGGTGGAGCTGCTGGAGCTGCTGGTGGTGCTGCTGGTGCCGGAGGTGCTACTGGTGCTGGAGCTGCTGGAGGTGCTGTCGGTGTCGTACTACCGTCTCTTTCCCTACCGCACTGCCTCTCCCCCTCCCCCGCCGCTCTTCCTTGCCCCAGGTACTCCCCCTGTAGACCCCCTCCCCCCCCAGGGTCCTGCCCCCTCAGGTGTGTCCCAGGTAGACCCTGCCGAGCCGGTCGAGGTAGCTGTCGACTCAGGTGCTGAGTCTGGGGGTGCTGCGCCTGCGGGTGCGGGGACTGGGGGTGCTGAGTCTGGACGTGCTGAGCCTGGGGGTGCTGAGCCTGCGCGTGCTGCGTCTGGAGGTGCTCTCGGTGTCCCGCCGCGGCGGGAGCCTCTCTCTCCACAGCGGCTTCGTGAGTGGTACTCTCGGCTCTGTCGGGGTACTGCTGGGGCTTCTGGAGGTGCTGCTGGAGGTGCTGCTGGTGCTGGAGGTGCTGCTGGGGCTTCTGGAGGTGCTACTGGTGCTGGTGCTACTGGAGATGCTGCTGGTGCTGGAGGTGCTGCTGGAGCTTCTGGAGGTGCTGCTGGTGCTGGTGGTGCTAGAGGTGCTACTGGAGGTGCTGCTGGTGCTGGAGGTGCTGCTGGAGCTTCTGGAGGTGCTGCTGGTGCTGGTGGTGCTGGAGGTGCTGCTGGAGGTGCTGCTGCTGCTGGAGGTGCTGCTGGTGCTGGAGGTGCTGCTGGAGCTTCTGGAGGTGCTGCTGGTGCTGGTGCTGCTGGAGGTGCTTCTGGTGCTGGAGGTGCTGCTGGAGCTGCTGCTACTGGAGCTGGTGTTGGTGGTGCTGCTGGGACTGGAGACCCTAGGGCTGAGGGTACCGGTTCTGTCTCTGCTGTTTCTGGAGGCGCTGTGCGGCCGCGACCGTACTACGTTCCGCTTCTTCAGCAGGTTCTTGGCTCCCAGCCTTCTCCTGGTCCTCCACCTCCTTCCCTGAGTCCACTGCCTGTCCTTTCGCTGTCGCAGTTACAGCCGGCCTCTCCGCTGCCTGGTCCTTCTCCTTACTCTGGCCCGATTGGAGGTCTTACAGAGCGTCGTGAGCCTGAGTCGCGTCCTGTGTCGCCTGTGTCTCGTTCTACGTCTCCTGTCCGTTCTGTTCGCGCTGTTCGTGTCTCGCGTCCGCGTCCTCCTCCTGTCCCTGGCACCCACTCTATGACTATGCGTCCTTCTACTGCTCCACAGCGTGTCCCTCTGCCGTCTCCTCCTGCGTCCTCTCTTCCTGACGGTCCTGACCCTCCGTCTGACTCCCTTCGTGCTGCTAGACCTACTGTCACGCGCTTTCTGGCCACTGCTGTCACTGACCCTCTGTTTGAGTCCTCAGCTGCATCTGCTCTTGTTGCCGAGCTTGTTGACTTTGCTGCCGCCTATCGCCTAGATTACGCTGCTAGTCTTGTTGCTGAGTCTGCGTCTGTGCCTGTCTGTCCTCCGTCCGTCGGGGGTGAGTGTGCTCTTGGCACGGACGTTCTTGAGGACAGACAGGAGGAGTTTGAGTGCTTTGCTGCTTCTGTACCTCATCTTGTGTCCATGCTGCTGACCCCTGAGGGAGACCCGGATGCACTAGACATCCCGACCCCGCGCTCTTACGCAGAGGCGATAGAGGGTCCCTACTCCTCTCAGTTGCAGGCAGCCATGGATGCAGAGATGGTTTCCTGGAAGTCCACAGGCACCTACGTAGACGAGGTTCCCCCACCTGGGGCGAACATCGTCAGTGGCATGTGGATCTTCAGGGTGAAGCGGCCGCCGGGTTCTCCGCCTGTCTTCAAGGCGCGTTACGTTGCACTTGGCTTCAGTCAACGACAGGGAGTTGACTTCTTTCAGACCTTCTCCCCTACCCCGAAGATGACCACTCTTCGGGTACTGCTGCACGTTGCTGCTCAGCGTGACTACGAGCTCCACTCACTTGACTTCAGCACAGCCTTCCTGCAGGGCAGCCTGCACGAGGAGATCTGGCTGCGCCGCCCACCTGGCTTCACTGGGTCGTTTCCTTCTGGTACCCAATGGAGCCTCCGGCGGCCAGTCTACGGTCTCCGCCAGGCACCCCGTGAGTGGCACGACACACTCAGGACGACTCTTGCTTCTCTTGGTTTTGCTCCTTCCACTGCTGACCCTTCTCTGTTTCTACGTACTGACACTACTCTGCCGCCGTTCTACGTTCTCGTGTACGTAGACGACCTCGTCTTTGCTACTGCTGACACTGAGGCACTTGCCCACGTGAAGTCCGAGCTACAGAAGAGACACACGTGCACAGACCTGGGTGAACTGACAAGCTATCTTGGCTTGCGGATCACCCGGGACAGAGCACAGCGCACCATTACCTTGACTCAGTCACACATGGTGCAGCAGGTCCTTCAGCGCTTCGGCTTCACGTACTCCTCGCCACAGTCCACTCCTCTGCCTACCGGTCACTCGCTCTCAGCTCCACCTTCGGACGAGTCCGTAGAGCCGAGTGGCCCGTATCCAGAGCTTGTGGGCTGCCTCATGTACCTGATGACCTGCACACGACCTGACCTCGCATACCCTCTCAGCCTTCTGGCTCGCTACGTGGCTCCCGGCAGGCACCGAAAGGTGCACTGGGATGCTGCGAAGAGGGTGTTGCGATACTTGTGCAGTACATCGGGCATGGGGCTAGTGCTTGGAGGACGGGCTCGAGTTGTCCTCACTGGTCACGCTGACGCCTCCTGGGTTGACGACTTGGCTACGCAGCGGTCGTCACAGGGTTACACCTTCAGTCTTGGCTCCGATTCTGTCTCTTGGCGGTCTACCCGCTCTTCTTCCGTTCTCAGCTCCAGTTGCGAGGCTGAGATCTACGCTGGGGCCATGGCTGCACAGGAGCTACACTGGCTCACCTACCTGCTGACCGACTTGGGAGAGGCGCCTCGTTCTCCTCCAGTTCTGTACGTCGACAACAAGGCCATGCTGGCCTTGTGTCAGGAGCACTGACTGGAGCACAGAACGAAGCACATTGCTCTGCGCTACTTCCTTGCTCGAGAGTTGCAGCAGCGTGGCCAGCTTTGTCTTGCTTACGTGGCCTCTCAGGCCAACACTGCTGATGTTTTCACCAAGGCACTTCAGCCTTGTGATCATCAGCGTTTCTGTACTGTGTTAGGCCTTGTACCTACTGTGCCTCACTTGTTGACTTCTTGACTCTGCTTGTACTGTACTCTATATACATATACCTGCATGCTTATATTTGCTAGGTTGTGTTCACTGTATTGTTTTCTTTCCTTTATATAACTCTGCATGTGAACTGGCCTTGCGGCCCTTTGCTTGTGCTCAGACTGCGTGGTGACTTTGTGATCCACCCTGAGCTTGCTTTGTCTTTCTTGATTGGTCTTGTGACCTCTTGTTCTCCCCCACTTTGCCTATGGGGGTGTGTCAAACTTATATCTGCTATAGTCTGTTTAGGCTGTAGTGGGGTAGTTCTTAGAGGGTACAACACTTTTGTGCTCTCTACTTGTACCCATCTCGTTCCTAGTTCAATCATTCCATTCTCGATTCTCACAGAAGCTGCATTCCGCAAGGTATTGGAAGCAGCACAGATTGACCACAAAGCCCAGGAGGGGTCCACGTTCCTGAGAACATGATATAAGGACACATGGGCTTTGACGCTACCGACATGGAATGTGGCTCTAGCAGCAGTGCCTTTCAAGATAGCAGTAGCAGAATCTCTAATGCTTGCAATGAGAATAGGGGAGGTTCTGATGTCAGCACGGGGGGTTCTGATGTCAGCAAAGGGGGTTCTGATGTCAGCAGCAGATTTTGGGGAAATATGCCACTCGTAATCTACAAGGGTCTCGATAATATGTTTGGTAAAAAGATAACGGGTACACTCACTGCAAAGGGTGTTTTCACGTGTTTGATAAAACGTTTCACGGAATCAGTCACAATCAACTGGGAAAAAATAACGCGAATGGTCATAGATGAAACTTCCGCCCAAAAAGAGATAATAACCAAAACGAACCTGGATGCATTTTTGGATGAATCAACCCTAAACACAACTCGCCAGGTGTTTAGGGTTGATCCGTTCCCAAACCGCATCTGATTACGATTGGGTTTTAGTTTTTTAAGAAGTTAGCTGATTGGTTGGGTGCGAGTGGGAGTTTTATAGAGTTTCAATATTTTTTGGCGGGAGTTACATGTGTGACAATTCGCGTGATTTTTTTCTTGTTGTTAGTGACTGAATCCGTGACCCCACTTACCAAACCCGTCAGCAAATCCGGTACAGTGACCGTACGCGTTAATTTTTTACCATTTACGTAATCGAGTCCCGTGTTGGTTACTTGTGACATATTTTTCCGCAGATTTTCGACCAATGGCAGCTTAAATTCCAGCAGTGGGATCCGCAGCACTGAAGAGGTAGATTCCAAGTGAGAGCGGTCATGCATGTGGCTGAAAGGCGAGTGCTGGTATAGGGGAGGCTGTGGAATTTTCCTCCGTGGATGGAATCGAGTACAAGCTGGGAGGCGGCCGGAAAACTAATATAGTGGAGGTCTGCCTTGTAGCATGGCAGCAGCATCTAAAGGCAAGAAGCATAGCATGTCCTCAGCACCAAGCACTTAAGAAAGGTAGTTGATTCACTCAAGTGCTTTGCGCTATGCGCTCGCGCTCTTTGAAGGGTACCACGTGTCGATGGGTATGAACAGGACATGGGGCTTTGCCCTATGGTTTCTTTTGAGGTGCCTCAAAACGCATGTCGATGGGTATGAAGAGGACATGAGGGTTTGCCCCATGCTTTTTGCATGGGGATGTGGAAGTACTGCGTTGATGGACGAGGGTGCAAGCAGGGCAGAGGGTGGAAGACGAAGATAGTGGATGCCCAGCAGTGTGGCAGCAGCAGCTCAAGGTAATGAACACAAGTACCAATAACTTGGGCATGTCATTGTCCGTTCTGCTCAGCATGGATGTCATTGCCCCTGGGTAACAAGGGTATGCCTTGTCAAAACATATTTGTATGTTTTTAGTTCTGCTAGGCTACAGTGAGGTGCTCAGTATAGAGTACAACCCCAGTTAGGGTTTGATACTTGTATCTCCCTGTTGCTAGTCATTCATAATTCCTATTCACGGATTCTAACATGGTATTAGAGCAGGATCGTTCCTAGGGCCCACCGAACGTTCCGCCCTGCCCTGCCCATAATTTGTTTCTGCCTTCTGCCCAGCGCTCGCGCGCCGCCCTGCCCTGCAGCCCACGCGCCGCACTGCCCAGCCCTTAGGCCTGCGCGCCGCCCTGCCCTGCAGCCCGCGAGCCGCGCTGCCCTGCCCTGCAGCCCGCGCGCCGCCCTGCCCCTTAGAGCCGCGCTGCCCTGCCCTTAAGCCCGCGCGCCGCCCTGCCCTTAGAGCCGCGCTGCCCTGCCCTGCAGCCCGCGAGCCGCGCTGCCCTGCCCTTAGGACCGTGCGCCGCCCTGCCCTGCAGCCCGCGAGCCGTGCTGCCCTGCCCTTAGGCCCGCGCGCCGCCGTGCCCTGCAGCCCGCGCACCTGCTGCCCAGCGCGCCGCTTGCACTGCCCGCCAGCTGCCTGCGCCCGGCCTGCACCCTGCCCCCGCGCACGCCACACGCACCACGCGCGCACCCTGCCCTGCCCTGCCCATGCGCGCTGCTGTTGCTCCCACCTATGCAGCTACTGCTAAGCGCGCTGCTGCTGCTAAGCGCTACTGCTGCTGCTGCTAAGTGCACTGCTACTGCTGCTGCTGCTGCTGCTGCTGCTGCTGCAAGCGCTGCTGGCTGCTGCGCCCTGCCCTGTCTCGCCGCGCCGCCCAGCCTGAACCGCGCCGCCCAGCCCTGCCGAGCCGCGCCGCCCAACCCGAGCCGCGCCGCCCTGCAGCAGTGCCCAGCCCCACCGGGCCGCCCTGCTGCTGCTGCTGCTGTTACTGCGCTAGCCCGTGCCCTGCTGCCCACGCACCCTACTGGCCTCCATAGCCACTCCAACAGTCTCTACTGCTGTTACAGCCACCGCGACAACCGCTACTGCTAAAGCTGCAGCTACAGCAGACGCTACTACCGCCTTTGCGCGGCTGCTACTGACTGCCACTGCCTGTCATGGCCACTATCACGGTCGTAGCAACATCTAGGGGTGGACAACAGCAGCCACTGCCTCACCTGGACACTCTATCATTGCAGCAGCTTCGCGAGTGGGTTATTCAGCGAGGCCGTCTTGGTGGTGGAGGTTATCGTGCTAGAGGTGTTGGACAGCAGCAGCAGCCTGCGCACCCGGACACTCTCTCGCCACAGCAGATTCGTGAGTGGATCGTTCAGCGCGGCCGTCCAGGTGGTGGAGGTTATGGTTTTATGGGTACTGGACAGCGGCGGCAGCAGCGTCAGCAGGGGACCTTCTCCCCGTAGCGGCTTCGCGACTGTGTTTCTCAGCGAGACGTCCCTGGTTGTGTAGAGGCTGCTGCTCTAGGTGCTAGTGAGTCTGCTGCCGCTCTAGGTGCTAGTGAGTCTACTGTAGCTCTAGGTGCTAGTGCGTCTACCGCCACTGGTCCTGCCTCAGCTGAGGCCTTGCACACTTTCACATTTGACTCAGGAGCGTCACGTTTCTTCTTTCGTGATAGCACCACAGTCACACCGCTCGCAGCACATGTCCTTGTCTCACTGGCTGACCCCACTGGGGGCCCAGTATTAGCGCGAGCCTCCATTGTCCTCCAGGGTCCGGGAGTCCCCTCCAGCTCTCTTTCAGGTCTACACCTCCCCTCGTTCTCGACGAACTTGGTAAGCAACGCAGTTCTTCAGGATGTATGGGTTAATACCTTTATCCCTGGGGGACATTGAGTGGCAATCTGTACGTGCTCCCTGACTGGCCGTCACCTTGCTACGTTCACTCGGCAGCCTGGGTCCAGTCTGTACACACTGACCACTGCGTCTGCCCATGTGCCTGCGTCAAATCAGGTGGCTGCGTTGAGTCAGGTGTCTGCGTCTGGTCAGCTTGCAGCATCTTGCTCGTGTCGGGTACTTTCCCACCAGACTCTCCTCTGGCACCACCGACTCGGTCACCCCTCTCTGCCGCGTCTGCGTAGCATGCACTCCCGTCTCCTTGTCTTTGGCCTTCCCAGGTGTCTGCCCCCCCTCCCGCGCTTGCTTGCCCCGCCATGCCTTCCCTGCGTCGAGGGGCGGCAGCGCGCCGCTCCTCACTCCTCCGAGTTTCCTCCGACCACTGCTCCTCTGCAGACTCTCCACGTGGACATGTGGGGCCCCGCCCGCGTCCGTGGGACGGACCAGGAGCGCTACTTCCTGCTGGTCGTTGACGACTACACGCGCTACACCACCGTCTTCCCCTTGCGCAGCAAGGCGGACGTCAGCGGTGTTTTGATCCCCTGGATCCGCGCTACTCGTCACCAGCTGCGCGAGCGGTTTCGGCGGGACCTTCTAGCCCTACGTCTGCACTCTGACAGGGGCAGTGAGTTCTCTTCCAGCCTCATTGCGGAGCTCTGTCGAGACGAGGGCATCGTCCAATCATTCACGCTTCCGGCCTCTCCGCAGCAAAATGGGATAGTTTAGCATCGCATTGGCTTGATCATGGAGGTTGCTCGTACCTCCATGATCCATGCGGCTGTTCCCCATTTTCTGTGGCCGTTTGCGGTCCGATACGCTCCGCATCAGCTCAACCTCTAGCCTCGTGTCTCTTTGCCAGAGACCTCGCCCACACTCCGGTGGACGGGGGAGGTTGGCGATGCGTCGACGCTTTGGGTCTGGGGCACGCTCTCCCTTGTCTGCGATACCACTGCGAGCAAGCTCTCTTCTCACACTCTCCGCTGTGTCTTCCTTGGCTTCCCCGATGCCCCGCCTTGGCAGTTCTACCACCCTACCTCGCGTCGAGTTCTGTCCTCCCACGACGTCACCTTTGACGAGTCGTTCTGCTTCTACCGCCGCCCCTCTTCCTAGTTCCACTTCCCCCCCCCCAGTAGACCCCCTCCCCCCACAGGGTCTTGCTCCCTCTGGTGTGTCTCAGGTAGACCCACCCCCCTTGGTTGAGCCTTTGGAGATCTCTTCTGACTTCTCTGGCCCAGCTGAGGAGGGTGACCCCACCGCTGATGACACGGCGGCCACTCGCCGCTCTCCACGCTTGGAGACCCCCCCTGGTTTTCCGCATCGGCCGTCTTTGCCGCCTCCGCAGCCTGTTGCTTTGGACTCTGGTGCTGCTGAGGGTGGTGACACTGGGGCTGGGGCCTCTAGAGGTGCTTGTCCTGGGGGTGCTGACACTGGTGCTGAGACCGGGGGTGTTGAGACTGGGGGTGCTGACTCTGGGGGTGCTGCGAGTCCTAGTGGTGGTGGAGCCGTGGGTGCTCCTGCTGGAGGTCCTAGAGTTGGACAGCCGCAGCTGCCTAGTCGACTCGAGATGTTCTCGCCGCAGCAGATTCGTGAGTGGATCGTTCAGCGAGGCTGTCCTGGTGGTGGAGGGTATGGTGTTACATCTTCTGGACCTGCTGGTGCTGGAGGTGCTGGAGGTGCTGGAGGTGCTGGAGGTACTGGAGGTTATGGAGCTAATAGTCCTGGACGTGCTGCTGGTGCTGGAGGTGCTGGAGTTGCTAGTCCCGGAGGTACAGCTGGTGCAGGAGGTGCTGCTGGTGCTAGAGGTGCAGGAGGTGCTGGAGCTACTAGTCCTGAAGGTGCTGCTGGTGCTGGAGGTGTTGGAGCTGCTAGTCTTGGAGGTACAGCTTGTGCTTGAGGTTTTGGAGGTGCTGGAGGTGCTACTAGAGGTGCTGGGGGTACTGGAGCTACTGGCACTGGAGGTGCTGGTGCTGGAGGTGCTGGAGGTGCTGGAGGTGCTGGAGGTGTTGCTGGTGCTGGAGGCGCTGGAGCTGGAGGTACTAGAGGTTCTAGAGGTGCTTCTGGTACTGGAGGCACTGGAGCTGGAGGTACTGGATGTACTGGAGCTGCTGTCGGTACGGGTACTGCGCCGCGCTGACCGTTTTTCTATCCGAAGCCGCAGTCGTCCCTGCCACCGCCTATCTCAGCCCTTCGCCAGGTTCTTAGTCTCCCGTCTTCCACTGGCCTCACTCCACCTCTCCTATGTCCACCGACAGACTAGTCTCAGCCACAGCTACTACCTGGATCCCCGCTGCCTGCTCCTGCTCCTCGCACTGAGGTGACCGAGTCCCTGACTGAGCGTCGTGAGCCTGAGACTCGTGCTTCCACACCTGTTCGTGCTCGTCATGTCGCCCGTCCTCGTCCTCCTGCTGTCCCAGGCACTCACGGTATGACACTTCGTCCTTCCTCTGTTCCACTACGTGTTGCCCTGCCGTCTCCTCCAGCGTCCTCTCTTCCTGGCGTTCCTGACCCTGAGTCCGACCTTACTCGTGCTGCCAGTCCTACTGTCACTCGTCTCCTCGCTACTGTCGTCACTGACCCTGACTTTGAGTCTACTGCTGCGTTTGCCCTAGTCACTGAGCTAGTAGACTTTCCTGCTAGGAGTCGTCTCGACTACATCGCGAGTCTTGTTACTGAGTCTGAGTCTGCCTGTCCTCCGTCCGTCGGGGGTGAGCCTGCCCTTAGCAGTGACGTCCTTGAGGACAGGCAGTTTGAGCTTGAGTGTCTCGCGGTCGCTTTACCTCGTTTCGCATCCATGCTGCTTTGCCTTGAGGGAAACCCGGATGCAATTAACATCCCTACCCCGCGCTCTTACAGTGAGGCGATCGCGAGTGAGTACTCCTCTCAGTGGCAAACAGCCATGGACGCAGAGATGGCTTCCTGGAAGTCCACTGGCACCTACGTCGACAAGGTTCCTCCTCCTGGGGTGAACATAGTCGATGGCATGTGGATTTTCAGACAGAAGCGGCCGCCGGGTTCTCCGCCTGCCTTCAAGGCGCGTTACGTTGCTCGAGGCTTCAGTCAGCGACAGGGGGTCGACTTCTTCCAGACCTTCTCCCCCACACCAAAGATGACTACTCTTCGGGTCTTGCTGCATGTTGCAGCACATCGTGACTACGAGCTGCACTCCCTCAACTTCTCCACAGCTATCTTGCAGGGCAGCCTTCACAAGGAGTTCTGGCTGCGCCGCCCACCTGGCTTCATTGGGTCGTTTCCTGCGGGTACCCAGTGGAGCCTCCGGCGGCCAGTCTACGGTCTCCGTCAGGCGTCCCGCTAGTGGCACGACACACTGAGGACGACACTTGCGGCTCTTGGGTTTGCTCCTTCCTCTGCTGACCCATCGCTGTTTCTACGCACCGTCAATACCCTGTTGCCGTTCTACGTTCTCGTGTATGTCGAAGACTAGGTTTTCGCTACTGCTGACACTGAGGCGCTGGCCCTAGTGAAGGCGTAGCTGCAGGAGAGATTCACCTGCACTGACCTGGGTGAGTTGCGGAGGTATCTTGGCTTGCAGATCACCCGTGACAGAGCACGGCGCACCATCACCCTGACTCAGTCGCACATGGTGCAACAGGTCCTTCAGCGCTTCGGATTCCAGTACTCCTCGCCACATCCCACTCCTCTGCCTACTGGCCACTCGCTCTCAGCTCCACCTTCGGACGAGTCCGTAGAGCCGAATGGTATGTATCCAGAGCTTGTGGGTTGCCTCATATACCTGATGACGTACACACAACCTGACCTCACGTACCCTCTCAGCCTCCTGGCTCGCTACGTGGCTCCCGGTAGACACCGAAAGGTGCACTAGGATGCTGCAAAGAGGGTACTACGTTACTTGTGCAGTACATCGGGCATGGGGCTCGTGCTTGGAGGACGGGGTTCAGTTGTACTCGCAGGACACTCCGACGCTTCTTGGGCCGACGACCAGGCGACTCAGCGTTCGTCACAGGGTTCCACCTTCAGTCTTGGCTTTGGTTCTGTCTCGTGGAGGTCCTCTCGTTTTTCTTCTGTGCTTGGTTCCAGCTGTGAGGCCGAGATTTATGCTGGGGCTATGGGTGCACAGGAGCTACGCTGGCTGACCTACCTGCTGACCGACCTGGGGGAGCGGCCTCGTTCTCCTCTACATATGTACGTTGACAAGAAGGCCATGCTTGCCTTGTGTCACAAGCAGAGACTAGAGCACTGAACGAAGCACATTGCACATGAGTGGTGATCTTGAGATCCACCCTGGGCGTTGCATTGCTTAGTTCTCTTGCCTGACTCGTCTTGTGACCGTTTGTTGTGTTGGCTATCCCTCACTTTGCTTAGGGGGGTGTGTCAAAACATATTTGTATGTTCTTTGTTCTGCTAGGCTACAGTGAGGTGCTCAGTATAGAGTACAACCCCAATTAGGATTTCATACTTGTATCTCCCTATTGCTAGCCATTCATCATTCCTGTTCACGGATTCTAACATGCCTGGCCCGCAACGCCCAGCCCCAAAGTATGCCCCATCTGTTTGCATTGCATGGCTTGCACAAGAGAAGTGCAACGACCTTCCCACCCGTACCCTTAGTTTGTGGCTATTTGATTCGATTCCTCCAAAGCAACCACCTCACATTCGATAAGACATGTGACGCATGCTAGGCATTCTCTTGTTGCTTCTCCCTTCACCCAAGTAGGGCGACCTTGCACAACGTGGCACTTCCTAGGAGCAGCAGCCCCCCATGGACCTCAGAGCAAGTCATCATGCAGTGCCCTGCGTTGCTCGTGTTTTCTCTTGATTGCTCTCCCATTCCCCATTGAGGAAGGCTCTGGGGAGCCTGGCTGCTCCAGGCAACAGCAGCCCCCTACAGGGACTTTAGAGCAAGTCACCACAGAGTGCCCTATACTTCTCGAACTCTCTCTTGCCTGCTCTATCACCCCATTTCCTGTGCAGGGAGCCCCTGAGGAACCTGGCTTGTCCAGGGAACAGCAGGCCCCCACACGGGCCTCATAAAAAATCGATAAGTGTGCCCTGTGCTGCTTGCATTTTCTCTTGCTTGCTCTCCCATCCCATCCCCCATGCAGGGAGCCCCCATCTCCCTTCCCGTGGCTGATCCAGGCAACAGCAGCAGCAGCAGCAGCAGCACCCCACATGGACCCTCAGAGCAAGTCATCATGCAGTGTCCCACGCTGCTCGCATGGCTGACTCAAAAGCTGACCTGATCCACATCCCCAGTTCTACAGTTCATGTTTTGTCGATAGTGGTTTCTTTGCACTTGTTATGTTTGCTTTGTCTGCCTTCAAAAGAATGCCTTCTTTCAGAAAGCATTACATAGAAAGGGTCACACTGTACAAGAAAAAAAGCTGCACTGACTTATTCACAACCAAACTTCAACTGGGGCATCAGTAGCAGAAGCTGATGCACAATCAGAGCTGCCTCCCGCGTTAATAAAGCACCTGGTTCGTGCACAATCAGAAAAGCCCCAAATCCTTGAGCTGCCTTTCGTGTTCGGGCAGTAGTGGCGGTGGCGACCAATCTGGAGGGAGAGACATTCCGGACAAATCCTCCACAATAAATTCCTGGGTAGGGCAGGGAGGGTAGGGCAGATGCCGGAGAGGACAAGGAGACATAGAGGCAGGAGTGATTAGACTCTGTAAACGAGCGCATCGCAGATACGTCGTGCACTACACGCTGAACTTGCCAAAACATAAAATTGAGGGAATGGAGATGGACGGGCAAGAGGCCCACACGGAGAGCCAGCAGCACACATGCAGACGCTCATTGTGTTTTCTCACTTATGAAACAGCGGGCGATTTGAGCTACAAGTCACAAACTAATGAACTATGAACTTGTGAAAGACGAGCTGACATGGTGGTCGCAATGATGAAGACAAGCAACGGGGGCCGCGATAATTTTTACAAGAAACGGGAAAGAAGAAACGAAGGCAACAGTTACATAGACAAGCACAAGTGAACGTTGCAAGGCCCCAAAACTAAAGAGCCGGCACAGCTGAATAGCAATTGATTCTTCTACAGGCATTTGTCAAAACGTGCAGCATGGAAGTGAGCAAGTACCTTAATGAGGATCCTTTTAGCGAGGATGTGATAGTGCCGCTGCCATACCTTAGTGAGGGTCCTTTTAACGAGGACGTGACAGTGGCGATGCCATACCTTAGTGAGGATCCTCTTAGCGAGGACGTGATAATGCCGCTGCCATATCCGCTGCACCACCAGGGTCGAGACCAGCAAGCAGTAAAACACCCCCACCAGTGCCAGCACGACCAATAGGATCGTGCCAAGTGTCAGCAGGATAAGGAGCCCCGCCTCTCCAGTGCATCCTCCTATGGCAGCAGAGCAGTCGCTACAGCCAGAGAAGCAGAACGAGCAGCCTGAGCAGTCTGAGTAGAGACAAACGGGTGCCATGTGGCAGTCACAGCCGCCGCACACACTGGGATGGGAGAGGAGGGAGATGTTGTACATTATCAAAGGGGGGTGTAAAGAGTGGGTTGAGAAACCGTCTGCATGCAAGTGGGTCGCAGCAGGGCTTTAACACTCAGAGGGGTACTCACAGCAGCACACACCAAGGTCTCTGCAACGAGCAGCTAAGCCTCCACAGGTTGGGAGCAGCTTGATCTATACCTTAGGCCCTCCAAAAAGTGCACTCACAGCGGGTCGCAGAAGCACACGCAGAGGTCTCTTCTCTACAGGGAGAAACTAGGAATATTTCTTGGGGAGCCGAGACAAACCACTCACAGGGGGTCGCAGCAGCAGGCGCCCAGGTTCGTGCAGGGAGAACGAGCTGCTAGATCTATTCCTTAGTGCACTCACAGCGGGTCACAGCAGCAGGCGCACAGGTCTCTGCACGGAGCTGCCAGGTCGCTGCGAAAGCGCCGATCAACACACGTCATGACGGCACCGAGCAGACCAGCAGAGACAAGGAAGAGCAGCACGCCTGGTTGGGACAAGGCATGAACAACGTAGTAACACGTTGGGACAAGGCATGAACAACGTAGTAACACGTTGGGACAAGGCATGAACAACGTAGTAACACGTTGGGACAAGGCATGAACAACGTAGTAACACGTTGGGACAAGGCATGAACAACGTAGTAACACGTTGGGACAAGGCATGAACAACGTAGTAACACGTTGGGACAAGGCATGAACAACGTAGTAACACGTTGGGACAAGGCATGAACAACGTAGTAACACGTTGGGACAAGGCATGAACAACGTAGTAACACGTTGGGACAAGGCATGAACAACGTAGTAACACGTTGGGACAAGGCATGAACAACGTAGTAACACGTTGGGACAAGGCATGAACAACGTAGTAACACGTTGGGACAAGGCATGAACAACGTAGTAACACGTTGGGACAAGGCATGAACAACGTAGTAACACGTTGGGACAAGGCATGAACAACGTAGTAACACGTTGGGACAAGGCATGAACAACGTAGTAACACGTTGGGACAAGGCATGAACAACGTAGTAACACGTTGGGACAAGGCATGAACAACGTAGTAACACGTTGGGACAAGGCATGAACAACGTAGTAACACGTTGGGACAAGGCATGAACAACGTAGTAACACGTTGGGACAAGGCATGAACAACGTAGTAACACGTTGGGACAAGGCATGAACAACGTAGTAACACGTTGGGACAAGGCATGAACAACGTAGTAACACGTTGGGACAAGGCATGAACAACGTAGTAACACGTTGGGACAAGGCATGAACAACGTAGTAACACGTTGGGACAAGGCATGAACAACGTAGTAACACGTTGGGACAAGGCATGAACAACGTAGTAACACGTTGGGACAAGGCATGAACAACGTAGTAACACGTTGGGACAAGGCATGAACAACGTAGTAACACGTTGGGACAAGGCATGAACAACGTAGTAACACGTTGGGACAAGGCATGAACAACGTAGTAACACGTTGGGACAAGGCATGAACAACGTAGTAACACGTTGGGACAAGGCATGAACAACGTAGTAACACGTTGGGACAAGGCATGAACAACGTAGTAACACGTTGGGACAAGGCATGAACAACGTAGTAACACGTTGGGACAAGGCATGAACAACGTAGTAACACGTTGGGACAAGGCATGAACAACGTAGTAACACGTTGGGACAAGGCATGAACAACGTAGTAACACGTTGGGACAAGGCATGAACAACGTAGTAACACGTTGGGACAAGGCATGAACAACGTAGTAACACGTTGGGACAAGGCATGAACAACGTAGTAACACGTTGGGACAAGGCATGAACAACGTAGTAACACGTTGGGACAAGGCATGAACAACGTAGTAACACGTTGGGACAAGGCATGAACAACGTAGTAACACGTTGGGACAAGGCATGAACAACGTAGTAACACGTTGGGACAAGGCATGAACAACGTAGTAACACGTTGGGACAAGGCATGAACAACGTAGTAACACGTTGGGACAAGGCATGAACAACGTAGTAACACGTTGGGACAAGGCATGAACAACGTAGTAACACGTTGGGACAAGGCATGAACAACGTAGTAACACGTTGGGACAAGGCATGAACAACGTAGTAACACGTTGGGACAAGGCATGAACAACGTAGTAACACGTTGGGACAAGGCATGAACAACGTAGTAACACGTTGGGACAAGGCATGAACAACGTAGTAACACGTTGGGACAAGGCATGAACAACGTAGTAACACGTTGGGACAAGGCATGAACAACGTAGTAACACGTTGGGACAAGGCATGAACAACGTAGTAACACGTTGGGACAAGGCATGAACAACGTAGTAACACGTTGGGACAAGGCATGAACAACGTAGTAACACGTTGGGACAAGGCATGAACAACGTAGTAACACGTTGGGACAAGGCATGAACAACGTAGTAACACGTTGGGACAAGGCATGAACAACGTAGTAACACGTTGGGACAAGGCATGAACAACGTAGTAACACGTTGGGACAAGGCATGAACAACGTAGTAACACGTTGGGACAAGGCATGAACAACGTAGTAACACGTTGGGACAAGGCATGAACAACGTAGTAACACGTTGGGACAAGGCATGAACAACGTAGTAACACGTTGGGACAAGGCATGAACAACGTAGTAACACGTTGGGACAAGGCATGAACAACGTAGTAACACGTTGGGACAAGGCATGAACAACGTAGTAACACGTTGGGACAAGGCATGAACAACGTAGTAACACGTTGGGACAAGGCATGAACAACGTAGTAACACGTTGGGACAAGGCATGAACAACGTAGTAACACGTTGGGACAAGGCATGAACAACGTAGTAACACGTTGGGACAAGGCATGAACAACGTAGTAACACGTTGGGACAAGGCATGAACAACGTAGTAACACGTTGGGACAAGGCATGAACAACGTAGTAACACGTTGGGACAAGGCATGAACAACGTAGTAACACGTTGGGACAAGGCATGAACAACGTAGTAACACGTTGGGACAAGGCATGAACAACGTAGTAACACGTTGGGACAAGGCATGAACAACGTAGTAACACGTTGGGACAAGGCATGAACAACGTAGTAACACGTTGGGACAAGGCATGAACAACGTAGTAACACGTTGGGACAAGGCATGAACAACGTAGTAACACGTTGGGACAAGGCATGAACAACGTAGTAACACGTTGGGACAAGGCATGAACAACGTAGTAACACGTTGGGACAAGGCATGAACAACGTAGTAACACGTTGGGACAAGGCATGAACAACGTCAGTAACACGTTGGGACAAGGCATGAACAACGTAGTAACACGTTGGGACAAGGCATGAACAACGTAGTAACACGTTGGGACAAGGCATGAACAACGTAGTAACACGTTGGGACAAGGCTATGAACAACGTAGTAACACGTTGGGACAAGGCATGAACAACGTAGTAACACGTTGGGACAAGGCATGAACAACGTAGTAACACGTTGGGACAAGGCATGAACAACGTAGTAACACGTTGGGACAAGGCATGAACAACGTAGTAACACGTTGGGACAAAGGCATGAACAAACGTAGTAACACGTTGGGACAAGGCATGAACAACGTAGTAACACGTTGGGACAAGGCATGAACAACGTAGTAACACGTTGGGACAAGGCATGAACAACGTAGTAACACGTTGGGACAAGGCATGAACAACGTAGTAACACGTTGGGACAAGGCATGAACAACGTAGTAACACGTTGGGACAAGGCATGAACAACGTAGTAACACGTTGGGACAAGGCATGAACAACGTAGTAACACGTTGGGACAAGGCATGAACAACGTAGTAACACGTTGGGACAAGGCATGAACAACGTAGTAACACGTTGGGACAAGGCATGAACAACGTAGTAACACGTTGGGACAAGGCATGAACAACGTAGTAACACGTTGGGACAAGGCATGAACAACGTAGTAACACGTTGGGACAAGGCATGAACAACGTAGTAACACGTTGGGACAAGGCATGAACAACGTAGTAACACGTTGGGACAAGGCATGAACAACGTAGTAACACGTTGGGACAAGGCATGAACAACGTAGTAACACGTTGGGACAAGGCATGAACAACGTAGTAACACGTTGGGACAAGGCATGAACAACGTAGTAACACGTTGGGACAAGGCATGAACAACGTAGTAACACGTTGGGACAAGGCATGAACAACGTAGTAACACGTTGGGACAAGGCATGAACAACGTAGTAACACGTTGGGACAAGGCATGAACAACGTAGTAACACGTTGGGACAAGGCATGAACAACGTAGTAACACGTTGGGACAAGGCATGAACAACGTAGTAACACGTTGGGACAAGGCATGAACAACGTAGTAACACGTTGGGACAAGGCATGAACAACGTAGTAACACGTTGGGACAAGGCATGAACAACGTAGTAACACGTTGGGACAAGGCATGAACAACGTAGTAACACGTTGGGACAAGGCATGAACAACGTAGTAACACGTTGGGACAAGGCATGAACAACGTAGTAACACGTTGGGACAAGGCATGAACAACGTAGTAACACGTTGGGACAAGGCATGAACAACGTAGTAACACGTTGGGACAAGGCATGAACAACGTAGTAACACGTTGGGACAAGGCATGAACAACGTAGTAACACGTTGGGACAAGGCATGAACAACGTAGTAACACGTTGGGACAAGGCATGAACAACGTAGTAACACGTTGGGACAAGGCATGAACAACGTAGTAACACGTTGGGACAAGGCATGAACAACGTAGTAACACGTTGGGACAAGGCATGAACAACGTAGTAACACGTTGGGACAAGGCATGAACAACGTAGTAACACGTTGGGACAAGGCATGAACAACGTAGTAACACGTTGGGACAAGGCATGAACAACGTAGTAACACGTTGGGACAAGGCATGAACAACGTAGTAACACGTTGGGACAAGGCATGAACAACGTAGTAACACGTTGGGACAAGGCATGAACAACGTAGTAACACGTTGGGACAAGGCATGAACAACGTAGTAACACGTTGGGACAAGGCATGAACAACGTAGTAACACGTTGGGACAAGGCATGAACAACGTAGTAACACGTTGGGACAAGGCATGAACAACGTAGTAACACGTTGGGACAAGGCATGAACAACGTAGTAACACGTTGGGACAAGGCATGAACAACGTAGTAACACGTTGGGACAAGGCATGAACAACGTAGTAACACGTTGGGACAAGGCATGAACAACGTAGTAACACGTTGGGACAAGGCATGAACAACGTAGTAACACGTTGGGACAAGGCATGAACAACGTAGTAACACGTTGGGACAAGGCATGAACAACGTAGTAACACGTTGGGACAAGGCATGAACAACGTAGTAACACGTTGGGACAAGGCATGAACAACGTAGTAACACGTTGGGACAAGGCATGAACAACGTAGTAACACG